TGGCAAATTCTTTGCATCTACCTTTGTACTAATTGTTTCCTTGTTAACTGTTGACAGTTTCTATTTAACTTAAATTTTGTATTGATCGTATCAACCGTTTTATCAACGCTTTTTGTATTTTCTGTTTGTCTCGTCTCTGCTTTCTGTTTGATTTTAAAACAGACACATTGCGATTCGAAAGTCCATAAGCTAGATTCAAGCAAGGTTTTGCACTTCGTTATAATTTTATTGCATTGATCGTTATCAATTCTTATCCTCTGTTTGGTCCATTGCACAGAAACAGGACTATTAGTCGTTAAATAATTTGCATTCTTTATATATATTTAGAACATTTTAATGAATATTTTATCTTGGACTACTTCCTTAGCAGAAGTAATTTCTTAATCATCCATGAAGAAAATTATTGTCAGCATCTTTTCTAAAACTGTTTTTTTTTTGTTTATTTCTCTCAGTAACAATTTATTGCAGGGTATGTTATATGGCAATTTTGTTCGGTGTTTCTTGCTGCAAAAGTATGCCTACTTTAGGCATAGGTAGGAAACATCCTTGGTCAACTAATCCTATAGGATTAACTAGCCAGACGTTATACAGCTTAGTTGTGGCTGTCTTGATACAGTGATTATTTCCAACGTGACCTCATTATAATTAGGTTGATTGTCATGACAAAGCATTAACAACATAATTTTCAAATTGTTCACAAAGACCTAAATAATTTTAATAAACTCAGTAACAAATGTTGTAAGGAACAGCCCTTGCATGAATTTCTTTTACATTCGTATAATGAACAATCTAATCTATTTGCAATGAAAACATAGTTGACCACTTCTCAAATACAACTAAAAACAATCAAAAGCTCGAAAGTATTTTTATACTTTTGGCAATCAACACAACATACTTTACTTAATAATATATATAAATTTATGGTAGACGAGTCACGCCGGGAAGAAGTTGGCCTAATATTTTAGTTAGTACAAAATCATGCAATGCTTGGTGAAAAATGTCACAATGGAAACAAATTAAAGGAAGCAGAATATGCAAAAAGAGCACTTAAAAGATAGACATAATGATACCTCATGATAATTTATTACAGCGAAGGGCGAGCATTTTAAAGCAATACTTTCTACTGTATGAAAAAGAAGTCACTATATGCAGTTAGTATCCTTACTAAATCTAAACTATATCTGCATATATGTATACAGTTAAGAAACCTTAACTATTTGCGTGAATGTAACGAAAAGCGTAAAATAAAAATAACTTAGCATCAAGATGGATGTAGCATTGTAATATTTTTAAACAATATGCATTGTAACTATCATTTCCTGCGTGGAATATGAATGAAACAGAAATGTGTGTGTATGTGTGTGTGTGTGTGTGTGTGTGTGTGTGTGTGAAATATGACAATTGAAAATTTAAAGACAATATGATAAAATATTCATGCTAGAATATGTACGTAGGTGACGAAAGTTTCATTTAAAATGTTTTAAAATGGGTGCAGTGATGGCAGCACCAAATGCTTTGCCATTTTCTTTTCAGAGTACACTCCGATAGGGTCCGTTTAAAAATATTTTCAAGAAGTTCTTCTAAACGACAAAGATTCGTATGTAGCTTTTGTACATCTCGGTATTGTCTCTTGGTTTGTATTGGTTGTTCTTGTGGTCTCTGATCACCTTCGAACGAGTATAATTAAGAGGACAAAGCAATTATGCCGTTTCATAATCACAGCAGCAATGTTCGCTGTCTACGGAAGTATACTTATCAGGGTATAGATCAGTTTTGTCTGTAGAAAACTGGGTTTAAGTGCATATATCATATAATAATCTATGATTATAATAAGATCTGATGTAATCAAATGTTCTGTTACGAAAACATTTTAAATAATGATGGACCCACTTATCATTTGCTCATCATTGGACAGTTTAAAACAACTTGCCGCATAAACAACTGTACAGACAATTATTTTAAGCATGATAATCAGTGAATGTATCACACTATCATAACTGCTTTCACACTAGATAGAGTAAACAACCTGGTAGCACAGCATGAACAAGAAAATTGTATGTGATATGATGCGAATAGTGAGGAAATACTGAACACGAGGGTGTGAAGAGCAGGAATATAAAATAAATATATACACAAGGTCAATGAATCAAACCTTTGTAAACTATGTTCGTACGATTCTATGATAATTTAATTATTGGTATATTTTGTAAAAAAAATAATAAACACGAGAATGCCAAATGTCACAGGATTCTCATCAAATATTCTAGTGATGTCTAAATTGTCATAAACGAATATGTTGCAGATCTCTTATTTTTAATATGTTTACAGATGTCAATTTAAAACTATGTTCAAAAAAACACTTCGCCTATTAAGAGAAGAAATGTTCTTGTAGATAATACATAGCTAAATTAACGTTAGTCCCTTAAAATAACACTTTTCTCAGGTTTGTTTGAAGTCTCTTAAGTTTTGGGAAGCCTCATTGTGCATCACACACTATACAATGTATATATTTCATGATAATTTTATTGAAAGGTAAATATATTATTTTGTTTTGAACCTTACCTAATAACACGCTATATTTAAATTTCTCTTAAAATCAGCATATTACAAAAACTCCATTGAAAAGGTATTGGCTAAATGTTATATTCAGTGTTAGATCATTGTCAGAATTCATGCAGTTTAGCTGGCAAGTAATGGGAACAATGAGAAGAGAAATTGACTTTGAACTAACAGTCATGATTGATTTCGAAATATGGATGTACATATTTTCAAGGTTTAGAAAGAACATGTTTGCTTGAAGTACCCTTCATCCTAAAGTTGTTTGTCATGCATGTTTTATAACACTGAGCTGGAATCTGATTAGATGTTTGATGTTCAATTTGAAACTACATGCATGTGTTTTCATCATCAGCGTTTTGTATATACTTTGTTTTCTTAAAACTGATCTAAACTTTCGTTGCTTTTTACTATTTTATGTTTTTGTACTGTATTGTAAAGGAAGCAATATATCATTTCAAAATAAACAAATAATCCAATGACAGGTTAGGCCTGGTGTGTGATCGTTGGCTTTCTGTACAAAATCTTTGAGACTATTTTTGTGAGTAGGTGTATGTGTGTAAACGTGTTTATACTTAAGTTTATACTTAAGTGTGGGCTTAGATTTGCGATATGTGTAAAGGTTAAGATAGAAAACCGTTTAAGGAAATCCCATGTATACCTTATCTGGCTATTATTCAGGGACGTACGTAAAATACCCAACTTATGTTCATTAAATAATATTAAAATTGTTTCATCAAACCTAACCCCAAAACAGTGGCGCAGATCTGATTTATAACATGGCGGTCAAAACGCCTAATTGATACTATTATGATTGCGACTCTTCCCAAAAGCATTAACATATCAACAATAGTTTTCATCAGTATACATCTGAAACGTGTACCTATTTCGCTCAGTACCTTCAAATTTAAAACATAATTTATTTGTTGAGCATGGTCACTTATTTTAATGCTACGTACTTGCTTCAAGTCTAGTTATCAAATGTAAGTGAAGCATCTTTTCTGAACATATAATCAGTGCTCAAAAGATAAAAAAAATTACGTAAAATTTGAATTTCCATTGTAAAGGGTAAAATTTGAAAATTGATTCTATGTTGCAAATTTAGACATACAACGAAGCCCAAATCACTGTGTTATGCCAACTTATTTTAAAATTATGTTCCTGTATGAGAAAGAAAGAAAAGTAAAACGACAGGCACACATATGCCAAGAAAGAGAGAGAAAAACTAACTCGTCACCCTTGTATATGATAACACAATTAAAACAATAAGCAGTTTTTTGTTTTGGTTCTAAGCATGAACAAGCATCAATACGAGTATCAAATATCAGCGAATGTTAAGTTAGATATAGGGTGGCTTTAAAATAGGATGCCTCTAATTTACCTTCTTAGACAAATACATCTGATATAACTATTGTCGATAAAATCGAACAAAAGTAAATATCTGATGTAATTATTTTCTCTTTTTAACTTATAAAGGTTAGAAAACAATATTCAATATATGCGTATATCGTTCATTCTTTCTTTTTCTAGCCAGGATGTCTATACGGAGTAGAGTCAGTAATTGCCCTTTCCATCTGCATTAGGTCATTGTTTATTTCATAGTTTATCAATCATGACAACTGCAAGTTCTTTGCTCTCTTTGGTACACTTCAGCATTCGTTTGGGGTTGGTGGGTGTTAGAGGTGCACGTAACGCATGCTCCAAATTAAGTATATGCAAGTCGTCTAAACACAGTAGTTTACTAAATATACATAAACGCTTAATTGACCAACTAATATTATATTTTCATGTGTTCAGTTTTAAAAAATTAGCTTAAACAGAAACCTCTAAATCTGACATTTAATATATTCTTCACACTAGATCGTCTCCAGACATTATATCCGTGGGCACATGTATGGTATAATACGTTAAAAACAAAACTGATAAAATTGGGTATGTGACCATAATAAGATGATACACAATCTTGCCTTACTAGTTTTCCACAAAGAGTATGTACAAATGTTTCGCACCTATGCGACAGAGAAACCTAGCTGTTTTGCTATCCGTATTTTGTCTTGCGTCAGTCTAGACATCTTAAGCCAGTCGTCTCAATCTAGGAGTCCAAGCTCTCAAAACTAGTTATTAAACGTATCTTTGTTGCCTTCTAACATGCCTAGTAGTTCCACTAATATCAAACAACAAAAGCAATAAATATATGGCTGTGGTTGTAGTTGTGGTTTGGCTTTTAACGTAGCTTTAACATGGTTTCAGTCATATGGCTACGATGTCTGCACTGTGGCAGTTTATAGTGATTTCTTGCACTGGACATCATGCCACAGACATGTAGCATGATGTCTCACACAGTCACCGTATCCTGACACAAGGCCAAAAATTCATAACACTAACCTCTTAATGATGAGCGTCAAACAAGGCATCTGTATTACCATTTTTGTTAGTCTTTGGTATGACCCCGGCTTGGGATCAAACCCACGACATCCCGCATCCAAGGCAGACGCTCTGACCACTAGGCCACCGGAGCAGTTCAACAATAAATACATAACAAAAAAAAACACGGTAGGAAATTACAGAAGAGGGTACATGTCTATGTTTCTGCAGTAACGATTCAGAATCTCGTGATAAATACATTGTGTGACGCAAGTTCATAGATAAGAACTGGGTAACATGATAATAGCAATTGATTAATAAAGAATCTGCAGACATCTAATAAGTTCGAGAGGAATGTATAACTCATATGAGTATTTAAACATCATTATTAATGTATCATTCTTATTCTTTTAAAAACAAGTTCTATTATTAGGACATTTTAATTTTAATTTTACATAACACAATTTACTGATCCAATGTTTGCTCGATTGATGGATCACGGTTCTCGATTTCTTCGCATCATGTATTTATGATTTTTATGGAAAAAAATCCTCGAAAATTCCATTGTTAGACTTTAAAAGTTGTTTCGTTCTCTAAGTCACCCATCTATAAGATCACTCCATAAAAAACAATTTTGAGAGAGACAAAGACTCACACGCACAGGAAATCTAGATATTTGGTATTTTGCTAGTTCCTTCCACACTGCATGGTCAGTTGTGTTCTACATGCAGCCCTAGCTCAGTACATTTCTAGGTCAGCGTCATTAAATGTAGCTAAAGCTCCATTGTTATAGTTTCAAACTTGTCCTGTTCCTTAAGCCACCCATCTTTGAGAACACTCCATACAAAACAATTTTGGGAGAGACAAAGACTCGCACGTTATCTAGAATTTTGGTATCTTGCTAGTTCGTTACACACAGCTTGGTCAGTTGTATCCTACATGCAGACCTAGCCAAGTACAATTCCAGACAATTCCAGGTCAGCGTTATTAAATGTAGCTAAAGCTACGTAGCTAGCTTTAAATACTTCATGAGAAACAAATTGTACACTGTTAACTACATTTAATGATACTGACCTGAAAATTGACTTTGCTATAGATATTATAAAATTCTCAATGCTGAGTGAAATAAACTATTGCAGAAAACAGCGATCTATCCACATATACTATAGACCTATACTTCGTAGCCTCTACACTCTCTTAACACCTGCAGAATATTCAGTAACAGCCAGAAATGCCAAACATAGTGTGTTCTAATTTTGTGATGCATCTACATTGTGCCACAGCTTGATAAAAACACTACACTATTTAATGACAAAAAATGCACTTATCAGAGAAGAAATCATTTATCCGTCAACACGTTAAGCCATAAGCAAATTTCACGGTTTCACTTGTCATATTTTCAAGACAGAGAATGTAAATTTCAAAGAATTAGTGAACATGAGAGTTTAGCACATGATTATTAGCTAACGTTCGTATTAAGACGGGTTTTTATACACGGGGGTAATTTTACAATCAGTATTAAGAACAACACAGTATGTCAAAAATATGTCAAAAATAGTTTATCTGACAACTATGCAACGTTTAATGTTGTTGCATTCCTCATTAACGTAATTGCATTATGGCAACGCATGTAAACATTTGCGTGTAAAATTATAGTTCACAAGTAACAATATTCTTTCTTACTTTAAATGATAATATTGGGCGAGAACAATAATCTACGATGGAATTTGGACCGAGACAAGGAAATCCCATTCACGGGTTTACATTATATGTCTCCCAACTCAGGCAAGTCTCGTGAGGAGAAAATTAATATAACGCCTTGACTGAGATTTCCTTATTTCGGTCAAAAGCCCAACAGAGATTATATATTTCTAGCATTGAGATACCTCGAGAAAATAAATGTTTATCATCGGACTTAACGGTTGTACCAGTGGTATATTATAATTATAATATATTATAATTAATGGAAATAATCAAAATGGGAATACATCTACCTTTCTCTTCATAATCCGAAAGATGTCATATTTCTACGTGGATGAGATCTCAACCTAAAATGCTAAAACAACGCTGATGTCAGTTCTAATTTTCAGCTGCAGAGGAAAATTTCAATCCTGGTTTCTAAAGCTAATGGTGCTATTCTAATGGCTTTCTTTGTAGAACCAAATATAACTTCATTGAACGATCAGGTATATGAATATACATATGAGATCAAGTACACCGCTATTCATAATAATGTCATAGTTGATAGATCGAGGTAGAAAAGAGAAATTTGGAAAACTGTATCAATGTATTTGATATGTATCAAACAATAGGTTCATTAGGAATATTAAATGATAAAGTTAAATTTATTAGTCCAACTGACTGCCAACATTTTATAAAATTAGTTACCTTTACCATTTGCAGATGTCTTTTGAATGAAAAGGCTTAATATGTAACACGTCCACATAAATTGACCGTATGTGGTTTAATTAACAATACGATTATAAATTGTCTTACTTGAAACAAACGTGCTTTAGCTAACATCTACTAACATAACATACTATAAAAGCACTGTAATACTAACTGCCAATATGATCTTAAGATTATGTGGTGTTGGTACACGTGGATAGAATACGGTATAAATGAGAATGACAGAAAGATGTGTAATCTTGTGATTATTGTGCATATACAGTTTCAAAATGGGAAGATAATTAAAGTATACTTAGCTCTTTGCAAAATACATGCTAACTTAATTCAAGCTGCATATAGCAGTTTACCACAAACAGTATTTAGAACTAGATTTGTATCCAGGTCCATGCAATTAATACCGTGCCTAATGACTGTTCGAAAACGACCAATACATACAATAATTTAACATTTCTTGTCCTTAAAACTGCCTTAAATAAATGTGAAAACATTTATAACGCCTAGAGAGGATTAGTCGATAATAATTCCTGAGAGAATGTTTTCTCTATATTTTCGCTGCATTTAAAATAGAGTTAACCTACGTTCCAAAGCAAATTAATAGTGTTATAGGTGAATGAAATGTAGAATAAATCTGTTTTTATATATTGACTGTATTAATCTTATAGCAACTATTATTAGATAATGCCACTGTCAAACAAATTATTAAATAGGAACAACAAAGAAAAAAGCAATAAGTAGATTGTATGTACTTTTAATGATGCATATTGCACAAATGTATTACGCTTTTGCATTTATATTGGGTACTCAATCCTTTCATTTCCAGCAAGTATCAAAATCGAAATATCCAACTGGATCAAAAGTCTTAGATAAAACAAAAAATAAACTGTGTTCTTCATCTTCATATTATTATGATTATTATTATTATTATTATTATTATTATTATTATTATTATTATTATTAGTATTATTATTATTATTATTATTATTATTATTATTATTATTGTTATTATTATTATTATTATGTTGACAAAGACAACAGTTAATCTCCAACAGTTATAATATATTTGGGTGATTTTCGTAGGAATCTCTGTCGTCCTGGATACAATCTTGTCCAAATGCCTACACATACACCGCAGTCTTGCAGCAGATTAGTTTGCTTACCAAACTATTTTTGCAGTCATAAAGAAATTGACTTTAAAAGTAGCAATCATGTTAAACATATTGAAATGGTAATGAAGCAATTACCATCGTGGTTCATTGGTCAAACACATGACTAGAATGGCGCCTATTTGAATGTTGCAATAGGATAAGAACCGATCAGCTGTCATATTTTGTACCAATATGCTTTACAATATTTGCCCAATAGTATATAACTTCTAGAAGTTGGTGTACCCTAAGTAAACAAAAAATGTATTATGTTTATGCTTTAATTACGGCATTTTACTTTTTTATTTTACAACAAACAATTGTATCTTATTATCTTCGTGTGATTTTACAACAACCAATTGTACCTTGTTATCTTCGTGTGAACTTTTCCTAAACCGGTACTAACCATAAGTTTAATCATATCACTAATTAATTAACTATGATAAAGATAAAAGTAAATGAAAAAAATAAACGAAATAAGAACACGATTACTTGCATCGGCCACTCTGAAATTGAGACCAAAACGCCCTTGACTTAAATTAAGCCACACAAATGCCTACCTTTGTATGTAAAAATAATATAGATATACATCTGTTCGATAAAAATTACGCTTAAAAAATCGAAAGATGTTCCTTCAATTTAAGGACCCGATGCAAAGTGTATGTACCTTTTTTTTTGTTTGTATCGTCCAGCTTCAGAAAGATGAAATATTTAAATATTGTATTTTTGAAAGGAAAACTAAGTGCAATTTCATATATTCATGCATGTATATGAATATTCGTTTTCAGAATTACAGCATCAACAAGAAAATTATCTTCAAAAAATTTAATTTAATTTAATTTAGGAATATGGGTCTTCATACACATCAATTAAACCAGGAAAAAATATTACACAGCTATGCAACGCAAAGCATTTCCATTGTCTGTTTCGACGACAGTTGCCAATTAGTCATAGTTATTGTTCTAGATTAACATCATGTCGCCCCTTACGAAATTAGGATAGCATAAGAATCATGCTCCAGATAAATGATTATTTTGTGAAAGCTTTTGTTTTGAAGTTTCACTTCCTACATTCAGCTTGTAATAAACAAGAATCCGAAAATGATAGCACATTGAAGATTTCAAGAGTATTAGTTTTCGTATTAGCTGATGGATAGTCGAAAGACATAAATGGATAAAACAATTGCCTGCCATCTTCTTTAACTGCAAGTCAATATTTCAAAACATAAAGGTTATGTAACATACAATTGATTGTAATATATTACGCAATATCCTCAGCATTTGATACAATAAAGTTGCTTTTAAGCAATCAAGCACATATATTGTTTTTACATACAATTAATTTCATCGATGACATTTGTGTCCTGGTTGCTAATGTAACTTATGCTGAGTTTGATTCAACGGAAAACTAGGTTTTAATTTGCTCATGACTTTCGTGCATGAACTCTGCATTCTGATGATAACGATAGTTATAATGTATTTGCTTTAGCCATTCTCATATATATGAAAGACTGAACATCAGAATCGCACCTTCAGAGCCGTATGCTGTACTGCATTTACAACAAACATGCAGCTGAATTTCATTTGCTTATGTTTTTATATTT